AAACACTTCTGTTTGTCTTGAAGCAGACAGAGTGTGAGCTTTAGTCTGATAGTAGACAGGTGTGGAGATGAGCCAGGTGCCAGGAGAGGTAAGCCACGCCCACCACTCACACACACACACACACACATACACACATAACTGTTATTCAGAAACAGGCTGCTGATATCAGAATCAGAATCTTTTTATTGATCAGCTATGTGCACATACAAAGAACATAACTCCGGTTTTACGTTGCTCTCAATGTACAAACTCAGACTAACAGCATAAATAAACAAAACAACAAAACAGACGTAGACTAATATGTACAGTTATACATATAAACAATAACATTGTAGACATTAAACAACTTTTTTTCTTTATGTCCATGAGCTAGGTGGATATGACAGTATATACAGTTTATATCAGAGTGATAGTATTTATGTTTTATGTTACTTTTAGAAAGAAACTGAATCCCAACAATAGATAAATAAATAATAAATAGTCTCCAGGTTCAGTGGATGTTACAGTCTGAGGGTTATTGTTGGTCAGAGTGATGGATTGTGGGTAGAAACTGTTCCTGTGTCTGTTGGTTTTGGCGTACGGTGCTCTGTAGCGCCTACCAGAGGGCACCAATGATCCTCTCTGCAGTCCCAACTGTCCGCTGTAGTCTGATCCTGAAGGTCCACTGTCATCTCCACAGTGTTGAGTGTTCAGGTCCAGGTTGTTCTGACCACAGCAGAGGGCCAGCGGTTCAACCCCCCCTCTGGATGCAGACTCTGGATGCAGACTCTGGATGGACCTGGGTGAGGATGAGGACTTCAGGAGTTGGACAGGCTGATCTCTGGAGGTGCAGTCATCGGTGCAGAGGGAGAGGAGCAGCGGAGAGCACACCCCCCTAACAAATAACTCAGTGGTTCCCAACCTGGGGTACGGGGACCCCCAGCGGTCTTTAATTTCACTGTTACTTCATTAAAGCTGCAGTAGGTAGCTTTTATTAAAGTAACTCCACAGCACAGACAGTTCTGCATTCACTCATCAGACTGGGTCCGGGTCTGATGTGGGTCAGCTGGAGTTCCTGATGAACCTCGCTGTAGATGTTCTGACAGTTGTTATAACAACACGTTCATAAACCTGCATCATCAGGAAAGTGGTTTAAAATTTATAATAAAAGTGTTGGTAGATTTATGATCAGTACGATCTGTTAGCGTATATATTATTATTACACTCGCTATATTATAGTGTAGTGTCAGATTAAATGATCATAATTGAAGTTATTGATACAGATTTTATTCACTGCAGGATGAGGGTTGCTGCTCTAAACAAAGGGGTGCGCTGAGTGTAAGGTCCACCTGTCATGTACTATTTATTTGATTGTTTTTTGTGGATTTGTTGATTGTGGATAGCGTGTTTCTTTGTTGCCTGCAGGTGCAGTGATGTGGAGATGAATTTCCCCCTTGGAGGACAATAAATTGAATCTTGAATTTTGAGATGAGTTTTCCTGATATTTTGATAGAATTCTCTGTATTCTGAATTTTTATCATTTTAACAATCAGATTGTTTAAATTGTTTTGCAAACATTAGCTATCAGGTGTAACTAGCAGCTCTACATCTCCACTAAATCCATAACACCCACAACCCACTCCACTCTGACACACTGCCTCACTGAAATCGAATCATGCATGCCAACTTCCTCAAGCTCAACTGGGACAAATCTGAAATAATCATCATCAGTCCCAAATCTCTCATCAAAAACACAAACAACTTCAGCCTCACCATTGACAGCACCACTCTGTCTCCCTCCCCACACATTCACAACCTCAGAGTCATCTTCGACAGGAACCTCTCCTTTGAACACCACGTCAACCAAATCACCAGAACTGCTTTGTTCCACTTGAAAAACATTGCACGCCTCCACCCTTCACTCTCCTCTTCTGCTGCTGAGACCCTCATCCACCTTTCATCACATCCAGAACTGACTATTGCAACAGCATCTTATATGGTACATCTTCTATCTTAATAAACTTCAGTACATCCAGAACTCACCCATACCTGCTCCTGTCCTACAGAACCTCCACTGGCTCCCTGTCCAACAACGGATCTAATTTAAAGTCCTTCTCCTCACTCACAAAGCCCTCCACAACCAGGCCCCCTCCTACCTTGCAGACCTGCTCCATTGCTGCCCCCTCCCTCTGGAACACATCAGAGACTGTACTGATCCATCCACCTTCAAATCACTGATCAATACCCACCTCTTCAGAACTGCTTTTAATGATTATAATGATCAATTATTGTTGAGTGTTGTAGATATAGCTATACTTTCTTAGTGTTTGGTTTTTTATTCCCTTTCTTCCCCTCCTTTTTAACTCATGTGAAGTGTCTGAGTTTCTTAAAAAGCGCTCTGTAAATTAAATGTATTATTGTTATTATTATGTGACTATATATATACACATATATATATATATATATATATCTTATCTTTTAACCATCTTTAAAATGTGGTTGTCTTTTCAACATAGATTAGCTTAGCACATAGCATATCTAAGCACTAACA